AAGAGTGTTTTAGGATCTGTACTTCCTGTCAACTGAATGCAATGCCATGGATGATTTTAGTTTCACAATCTAACTGGCATCTTGCATTATCATTTTCACCCCCTTCTCCATTGGACTTTCCAATATTATCTTAGTCTCATATCATTGTTCAGTGTCCCAAAGTCAAGAAATTTGATTACATTATCTTAATCAAATTCTTAATAAGAGTGACAATAGAGGCTCAACACAGCCTTGATAAATGATTTTGGAGATTCCAACATTTTAGTAGAGTCACTGCAGTTATAGTGGTTAAATGTAGTTTCTTACATGAAAAAATGTTCAATATGCAACATCTGGTATAAACAATTTTCTACAAATGAATGTTGTTATTGTTTTTAAAATAGCATTCAATGATCCATGGATTAATTAATTAATCTATGTCTCAGTGATTCTTCAAAATACATATTATATGAAATTTAGAAATTGTATATATAAGGTAAGCAGATAGCTTAAAGGTTAACGCACTGCTCCCTTGTGGTTGACTGCAGTTTGAGTCCTAGACCTAGAGGCTTGAAACTCAGGTGGAGCAACTCACAATGGGCATGTGTGTGTCCGTGCACAAAACCCTGAAAAGAAAATGGAGGAGAAGGGATTGTGGTCATCCTCCCTTGGTGGGGGGGTGATTTCTTTCTTGCTTTCTGTCTTTCTGTCTCTCTGGTGACTGCATACACTCTATAGTAAAAATCTCACTTAAAAAAACAAACAAACAAACAAACAAAAAAAAACCACAAGGGAAATTGTGCATATAGAATGTATGTATATATCTATATTCTAACTCATATATATGTTCAGATATATTCCAATTCATAGCCCTTTTATATCCTAATTATATATATATATATTTAAAAATACATGTGTGCATTATATAAAAGCGTGTGTGTGTATTTAAGGTTCTTACCATAGGGCACATGCACTCACTGGGCCTAGAATGAGGGAAGGAAAATGTGAAATCACAACTGAGGGAGGATGACCATGTCACAATCCCTTCTCCAGTCTCCTCTTGGGATTTTGGGCAGACACAGATTCCTGGTGTGATTTTGAAGCAATTGGTTCCACGACTTGAACTATGATGACTGTGTGGGAGTCTAGCAACTTAACCACTACACTGCTGGTGTCTACTAAAATATATTTAAGGAATTTTTTTTTTAGAGGTTTTTGCTAAAGGGCATGCTCTCCAGAAAGAGAGGCAGAAAGCGAGAAATCACGCCCCCCCTCCCCGGGGGGTGGCCATGCCGCAGTCCCTTCTCCTCCATTCTCCTCTCAGGATCTTGGGCACGCAAGCACACATGCCTGGCATGAGTTTAAGCCACTGGGTCCGGGACTTGAACGGTGATCGACTACATGGGAGTTCAGCAACAGCCATTACACTAACTGCTGGTCCCATATTTAAGGACTTTTAAAACGATTAGAACATTACTTCTGATTTAGGCAGGACCCACTATGACAATTTCTGAATTTTTTTTCAATCTCTGTAAAACCAGATCTGTTTATTAGAGAATATATTTTTCTAAAGATTTCATGGTTTCATTTATTTTAGTCAACACCAGTGTAGGTAATTTTACACTGGCATTTCTAATAATTCTTTAGGAAATATTGCGTTGGTATTTCACTATCTTGAATGACTTACCATTTTCCAGCTGTGGATAAAAACGATCACATCCGGGAACCAGCAGTTAGCGTAATGGCTATGTCACTGGACTCCCACGTAGTCGACCGCAGTTCAAGTCCCAGACCTGGTGGCTTAAAACTCACGCTGGGCGCGTGTGCGTGCATGCCCAAAATCCCGAGAGGAGAATGGAGGAGAAGGGATTGTGGTGTGACCATCCCCCCTGGGGGGTGATTTCTCACTTTCTGTCTCTATGTCTCTCTCTGTCTATCTGGCAAGTGCACACGCCCTATAGCGAAAATCTCTCCAAAAAAAAAAAGATTACTCTTTGGGCTCTTTGGCATGGACATTAAACACGCCTGTGTATCCATCTCCTGGCAGAGACATTGAACATACCTGTGTATGCATTCCCTGCATGTTACAAATGGTTCCTTGTTGGCATGCTATTACTGATAACCTAGAAAAAGTAATATTTTCATATAAAAATGAAGAAAAAGCCCAAACTTGCAAGTGCGCTATAATTTTTAGTAGTCTAATGTAGCACTGCATAAACTGCGTAACACTCAAATAGTGGTCACAAGTATATATACTAAGGATACAGTTTTTCTATGATTTTTCTTTCCTTATTTTGCCATTTTAAGTTGTTTTTCATGACCAACTACAGAGAAAATATTATATGGGTAAAGAAGACACAATAATTTAATGTTTCTTAATTTCACACAGAAGAGAAGAGAGCTAAGACTAAAGAAAAGACTGAAGAAAAGACTAAAAAGGAAGTAAAAGGTGGGAAACAAGAGAAAGTGAAGCAAACAGCTGCAAAAGTAAAAGAAGTGCAAAAACCACCACCGAAACCCAAAGAGAAGGAAGACAAAGAGACTGTTGCTGTGTCAAAGCATGAACAGAAAGGTAAACATTCAGAGGAGGAGGCGGCTGGAGGCTCTAAGAGAATATTGGGCAAGAAGCAGATGCAATGAAATTAAAAGCTAACAAGGACCAAACTCAGACTTCAAGTGGGGTAGAAGACTTACATAAGTAAACACACCTGAAAAGAAATACAATAACTTGGGAATTAATACTCATCTATAGAAATACTAAAACATGTTCACTTATCTAAAGATGCATTTTAAAGATTTTTCTTAAAAAGGTGTTGAATTAGCATCTGAAGTTATTAAAGGTTGGAGATAATGTCAAATTCCTGGGAGATGCGATTTTTGTTCAGAGGTGCAATAGAGATTGTATGTATTATTCTCTTTGGAGAAAAAGCAGTCAAGAAATAAGTGACGATTCTCAAGGAGTTTGTTAAGAGTGTATGTTCAATCCATAGAATAAATAATATAAAAATAATCCATACATTCCTGATGCTCTGCAACAGCACATCACTTAGAATATACATCATTAAATGTATTTAATTGAATAGGCAAGAAGTTATAGAGAAAATACCCTTCAAGTTTCTTTTGCCAGTTTCCACTGACAAGATGTCAGAAAACTCTGAAGTCTGCATATTGTGCTACTGTTCAATTAGAATGACGTCAAACCTTTATCCCACTTCACAGAATTTTACCATTTAAATGGGAGTAGAATCTATACTTGATATTCTTTATGAAAGGGTGCTAGGTAAATCTAAAAGGGTAGAGTTTTAAGAGGGCAATTAAAGGACTTACGGTATCCATCTCTGACCTTTGTGGCATCTTCTCTTTCCTAAGTCTGTTTCTGAGTCCATGTCACTAAAAAGTTGTTAGAATCCCACTGTAGAATGTGGAGAAACTATTCCTATGAATGATATTTCTTGGGAGTGTTGCAAAAAATACAATTTTCTTTACTGTGATAGCACTTTTGAATAATTTCAACTGAGAACTAAAATCAAGAAATTATTTTCTATCAGACACTAGTTTAAAAATAAATCTTAACACTTCATTATTGAGTAAGCTATTTGGACAGAGAAACTGAAAATAAAGAGGCTTTCTTTTTTTTTCTCTTCTCATTTTAAGGCACAAAATAGGAAATTTGCAATTTGCTCTTGTATTTTATCTGCTTTTTGTATATTTATCTTTTTTCCTTGAATTCAAAATATTGTTAAATTTTTATTCCCAAGTAGTATTAGTAAATTCTGACTAGATGACAAAAGATAACTATTCTAAATAACATATTTTTTAAAGGAAAGGAAGACAAGAAAAAACTTTTTTTTTTTCTTTTTAGTGATTCACAAACTTTTATTTAGGTCATTTTAATTTATTTTGGTGAATATTTTAAGATATTAATAAAATTAAAACTTGAGAGCACTAAAACCTTTCTCCAATTTTTAAATGATTAATTTCCTTGAAAAATTAAAATGTTAATTATTAACTTTCTCAAAATCCTGTCATTTATGAAATATTTGAGTAGAAAAAAATATAGTAAATAAAATGAAAATATTTTGAACATTATGCTGTAACAAAAAACAGGAAAATAGATTTTTTCCAAATCACTACTGTATTTATTTAGATCCTAGAGTACTTTGCATTTTAGATTGATCTTAGGAAACAAAAATAACCACATGAAACCAGTAAAATCATACCAAGTAAATTTTAATTTTTTATCCATGAATGCAGTATGTAAAATTTATGCCGGGGACAGCAGGTGGTGTGATGGTTAAGTTGCAGGACTTTCATATGGCCAATAGTGGTTCAAGTCCTGGACTTGGTGGTTTGAATAACAACCAGATGTATGAGTGTGCGTGCCCAGAATCCTGATAGGAGACTGGAATAGAAGGGAATTCTGTGTAGCTATCCCCCGGGGGGAGGGGTGATTTCTCACTTTCCTTCTTTCTTTCTCTCCAGTGAGCGCATGCACCTTGTGGCAAAAACCTAAAAAAAAGAAAAGAAAAGGAAAAAGTATGCTAATTATATATGCAAATGTCAAAATACTTATCTAGCAACTAGGAACATAAACACATGATTTACTGTTTATTTTTAATATCTTCATTAATTTGGGGGCCATATTTTATTTTATATCTTCAAATAACACTTATTTCCCAGGAAACAAATGCTGCATCTTTTTCCTATCAATGATCACATTTATTAAAGACAGCATTATGTGACTACTTCCATTTTTTGATCTACCATTTTAATTTCTACATGATGAACTATTTATCTATTAAGAGGACTCTCAAACACCACTTAAAGTTAGAAACAAAAACACAAATGTGATTTTATCAGCCTAACGAATGTATTTATTAAAGCAAGTCTTCTTCTTGAAATGGCCATTATCAATTAAAGACAGTAAATGGATCATTAAGTAAGAAATGAAAATATAACCTCTAACGGCTAGTCAGATACACAAGTATGATTTTTTTTTCCTACTAAGTTAAGACTTAAGACATTTGTTTATATAAAAGAACTTAACTTCACTATGGTTTAAACTAAACAAGGTAAACAAAAACAACATTTTTAAAAAATTGGTTTTGAGGTGGCTTTGATTTTGAGAATCTTGTATTGAGTTCTTAAGCAAAAGAGTTAAGTTAGTTTTTCTTTGGACGAGAGAATATTTATTTGCTTAATTTAGGCTAGGCCTAATTAATTTGAGGCTTTTTTTTATATATATTTCTAAATATCTCTTTTTAAACAGATAAGGCCCATAAGTCTTGGCAACAGATTTTTACATAAGACATATACTTATTGGTCACTATTTAATTGTGCAATGTAATTATAAATAAATTCAATGTGGTTATTCTTAACATAGGGATCTTCAAAAAGTTCAGGAAGAATGTGTATTATTAAAAACCTAGGCATGGAATTCATAAATTTTTGATAAAAAACAAAATTTTACCTTAATATCATTTTTTACAAACTTTTTGAAGTACCGTTACATATTCTGAATATATAAGCAATATATTTCTACATAGGGAATAAGATGTATATTTGTACATGTCTTCCATAAACTTACATACCCTTGCATACCATATCATCTAATTTCTAAGAATAATTTTATTTATCCTTATTTATTTATTTTAATTTGACCAGAGAGGGACAGAGCTAGAGAGAGATAGAAAGTGGGAAAGCAAGCTGCCAGGTCTGGGACTCAAACTGCAGTCTACCATGTGGGAGTCCAGGGTCCCTAACCACCAAGCCATCTGTTGGCCCCTCATATCATCTAATTTCTGTGGGAGAATCTAAACCTGTTTAAAATAGGGTAGGAAGGACTGACGTAGTCAGATATTGCTCCCTAGTTTTCTCATGGTCTCTGGCAAGTCTGTAAGAAGGGAAAAAGCAAGTATTCCAGCTGCTGTACTTTTTGCTTAATCTTTTCTTCCTTTTTCCCCCTTTCCTAACAATTATGTAAATATTTGTGGCGGGCAGAGAAACTATAGTTAATATGAATCTGCAGGAAGCACTAGACCACATGTGCCCCATCCTCATTAGAGGTTTTTAAAAATGTCCTTTCTGTTGACATCCTGTACCCGGAATGCATTTTTTTCTCAGCTGCCACTCTGCAGGGAACACCGCAAGGTAGTACCTAAATGACATCCATCCCTGCTCTCTGAGCATCAGGCATTGGAGGAATGGACAGCATAGGTCATCTTGGAAGGACTTCATTTGGGAAAAAATAATACTTAGGATTGGTGACAAAATATGAAATTACCTAATTTAAATTATTATCCCACAGCTATGGAAGTTAGAATGAGAGACTAATTTTGACTTGCTTTAGGAAAAGTTTTCAGCTATAATATAAAAGTTGGGCTTAAAGAAACATTTCTATAAAATAAATCTTCCAAAGTCAGGAAAACTTGATTTTACTTTATCCATTGACAGGTAAAACAGACACACTGGGGCCATCTAGAATTCCTACATGTTGTTAACGTCAACACCACCACGAGTGGCAATGGACGGCCTCACCTAAGCAATTAAAATTTTCTAATTTACAATATTTTTTAAAGTTTCTTTTTTTATATCAGTGACATTAAGTTGCAAAATCACAATATTTACATGCAAAAGAAACTTCCTAAGTATTTTTAACTCAAGTGATCTTCTACATTAAAAAAGTTACTAGAATTCATAAAGGATTTTCTTTTTCAAGTAAGAAGCTCATTGGACTATTGGTACATTAATTAGATGAATTATTTGGGGGTCTAGAAAATATTGGTACAATAAATACAAGCATGATAATTTGGTAATAATTCAACACACACACTAAAATATTTTATTATACTCTCAATTTTGAGCTAAAAAATACTCTAAGGGATGAAGATTTTAGGTGATTCAATACACTATTCAAAAAAAGTATTTTAGAGGTTTTTGCTATAAGACGCATGCACTCGCCAGAAAGACAGAGAGAGACAGAGAGGCAGAAAGCGAGAAATCACCCCCGCCCCCAAGAGAGGGATGACCACATTGCAATCCCTTCTCCTCCATTCTCCTCTTGGGATCTTGGGCGTGCACACACATGTGCCCAGCGTGAGCTTAAGCCACCTGGTCTGGGACTCGAACTGCGTCGACTACATGGGAGTTCAGCAACATAGCCATTACGTCAATTGCTGGTTCTTTAAATCATTTTTTATATAGTGTTTCCATAGCAGCATGGACAGAGAACAATATTTCGTGTGAGGAGTTGTCAAAACCCTTTATATTAAAAATAGTTTCTGCAATTTAAACTTCTTACATATATAAAACAAAAACCTCTTTTGTTGTCATAGGAAGCTATAGTGTTATTAGTAATCGTGGTAGAAAAAAAAAGGGGAAGGGTTTAAGATTGGTAATTTGCAGTCTAATTAGACTCATCTGGGGTGTTTGTTAAAAGTGCATATTCCTAGGGACCAGCAAATGGTACAATGGTTAGATCACTGTACTCCCATGTGGTTGGTGGCAGTTCAAGTCCCAGACCTGGTGGCTTAAAACTCACGCCAGGTGCATGTGTGCAAGTGCCCAAGATCAAGAGAGGAGAATGGAGAAGAAGAGATTGTGGTGTTGCCATTTCCCCTAACGGGGTGATTTCTTGCTTTCTGTCCCTCTGTCTCTATCTCACAGGCAAGCACATGCATCCTATAGTAAAAATCTCTCTCTCTCTCTCACTCCATCAGAAAAAAGAAAGCATATTACTGAAGAAAAAAATCAAACACATGGCATTTATTTATTTTTGGGGGGGAGGTGATAGGCCCTGAAAATCCGCATTTTGACAAATTTCCTCTTTTTGATGATTAATTGCTCTTTGAGAACTACACCTGAGTTACATAGCTAGGACAAACCTGAAAAGAATACTCTCAATTAAGGTGCTGAATCAAAGACAAAAAGTGCCAATTTCAGTCCACACTGGTCCAACTTTAAATTTTCCATTTAAGGGAAATGTACTTTTTCATCTTGCTTTGTATTACAGTCAAATTGCCCTTTCTACAGTTTTGCTCAGGAAGACAGTTTGATGTCTAGGAAAGAGAAAATATCCTCTACCTTGACCTTACCTGTCTCCTATACCATGGGGTTCTCAAATCCTAGAATCAAAAACTCCAACTAGTAATATACAGAGAATAAATTCATGGACTGATCTGAGAGCTAGCCTCCTTCCCATCCCTCACTACACCTGTAGGAAAATATGTTCCAATTTCAGTAACCAAAATACAGGAAAACATTTGCAACTTTATGAATTTTGTCCTACTCATATTTAAATCTTAATGAGTGAATTATAGTTTTCACCTACTAAAATAACTACATTAGTATTTTCAAAGACGTGGCTGAATTTTATAGTGGATTACTCTAAAAGCACTGTTAATATTTTAAAAAGAATGGAGGTTGCAAAAATCTTTGAATGTGTATTTATATAGAAATAGGTTATGTAATTTTATACATTTGATATACATAATTTGAAGCAATTAAAGATGTGTTATGTTGTATAAATTCAATAAACTTTCTTGGT